TGAGATTGTTGAGGCCTTTGGCCGATTTATTGGCAGGAGTACATCCCGTATTATAATTTGATATGTTGTTGTTCAATTGATTTGAAATTTTAATTTTTTCATATACTTTGGGTTCTAGTTAATAATAATTATTATTATTTTGTTTCGATTTGCTTTTTGAGTTTTCTTTGATTTTTCTTGTTTTTGGATTTTTTGTGTTTCTTTTTCACTATTTTGGTTTAAAATTGTATTTACCCTATTTCGCAACTACATATCCTATGAGTTATTATTAATGCTCTGGTTTATTACATATGAACGCTGTTTAATGTTTAACGCTATAATTATATGTGATCACACACAGATATGGCTGTATGCTCTGCAATAGACCACTAACAAGGAAAGAAGAAGAAAAAGACAATGGAGTGCTACATCTTGATAGCAAACCATGACGGGAAATAAACTTTCAAGACAAAACTAACTAAAACTTTTAGATTAGCGGATGGCCTAGTTGTTTCTACGTAAAGACGAAGTATCCTGTTGGCTAATCTGAAAGCTTTAGATAGTTTTGTTTTGAAAGTTTATGTCGCGTCATGGTTTGCTATCAAGATCAAGCACGCCGCTGTCGATGGCAGAAAGTTGCTTTTTAAAATAGTGGAGAGATCGAAGTATTTGCGTAAGAAATACCCACGCATTTTCGGTGTTCCTGCACTAAATGATGAACTATTCGAACCTCCAATTTTAAGTTGAACATTAATGAAGCAATTGAGTTGTGTGTTGGAGACTGTTATAAGATCAAGACTTTGGTCAGAGACTTTCCTTGTTACACACAAACAGTGTCAAGAAAGGTAAAACTAATCACCAAAGCCAAGTTCATTAAAAAGAGAGATTTTGTCTCTGACTTTCAGACACCATCTGGTGGTGAGTTCAGGGCCGGTTTTACACTCTGGAAAACGGACGAAAAAATTTAAACATACTTAACGTCCAAATTTTTTGTTGTATTTAAAATTAATGAAACTCAATATCTGTGGGTTTTCGCGGTCGCTGATTGCGAATCTGATGCCAGATTTTGATAATTCAACATGGCGGATCCAGTATAGCTGACTAAAATTTAAAAATTTGATGAATTTTTATGAAACTTGGTACCTAGAGATTTTTGGGATCGCTGATTAGAATATGATGTCAGATTTTTAAAATTTAATACGGCGAATCCAATTATGGCGACCACAAATTTTAAAGGTTGATTTTTATGAAACTTAGTATAAAGGGGATTCCTGGGTCGCTGATTACAAACTGGGGGTAATCATATTTTATTCGATCTTATATTGCCGATGGCGAAAATATTCTTTGCTCTTTGCTGATTTACGAGTTTAAAAGAGGTAAGATATTACGGCCTTACCACGTCCACGTCGTTAGTTCTGAATCATGCAAAGAGTAAGCTGGTTCCGTATTTAAAAATCATGAAACACCTAACACAGTTTCTAAAATTTAGCCAAAATCTTTAAATGTTACATTTTGAATATTGAAAATCAGACATCAAATTCGTAATCGGCGATACCGAAAACTCCTTAATACCAAATTTCATAAAAATACGTTAAATTTTACAATTTCGGTTCGCCATTTTGAATTTAGAAAATCTGACATCATATTTGTAATCAGCGTAATCGGCGGTTTTCCGGTAGCTGATTACGAATAAGACATCAGACTTTAAAAAGTAAAAACAGCGGACCTGATATGGTGATTAAGAAAATTGAAAATTAATCGAATTCGCTGTTTGGGGTTTTCAAGGTCGCTGGAATGCATCTGATTTGAAACATTAAAAATTAAGAATGACGTATTCAGTATGGTGTTTGATTTTTATAAGTCAGTAAGTTTAATATGAATCCTATTTTTTAGAGTTCTGGTTGCACTCAATAGGCAAGTATATTTCCGCTAAGCAAATTAAAATACTTCTTAATTAATAATTTTATTTTGTTTTGTACAATAAAGCAATGACTTTTTGATATTTGTGAAACAGATGGGGCCTTATCAAATCGTCTTTTAAGGAATCGTTCTTAATTTTTAATGTTTCAAATCAGATGCATTGCATCGAAAAACTGAATATTAAAACAATAGGGTTAGAATTTCCCAAACGGATCTTCTAAAACTAAAAATTTTTATTTTTATACAAAACTATTTTTTTGACTCTTATTATGGTTCAAAAGAATCTCTGAAAATAATATGCCACACAATTTTTTTTTATATATAAGTTATTAACAATTGAATTTTTTAGTAATGAAAATTGAAAACAAATTTTCTCCAGTTACAGTTAACGGATTTAAAAATCAAAAAAGGGTTTTTTTCGTCTTGAATTGTTATGAACAAATTTCTGCATACAGACAGACAGACACATTTTTTGAACATATTTCGAATTCTAATATATCTTAAAACCAAAAAATATATAAATTCACAAGTTTAAAATAATGTATAGACAGAAGTCTCATTTTATTAACCCTTTAACGCCCAAATATACAAAATTTTGGCAAGAAGTTTGAGAACATATTTCGGTACTTAAAAATTCCACCCGAAAGTACGAAATTGTTAAAAGTGTTTAGATTCGCTTGAAATTTATTACTCAGGGTTTTTTTTGGGTCGATGATTATGAATCTGAAATATAATTTTCATAATTCAAAACGGCGGATCCAATATGGCTGACAAATTTTCAAAAACTCATTGGATTTGCTTTGAAACTTAGTACTCGGGTGTTTTTGACATCGCTGATTACGAATCTAAACACTTTTAACAACTTCGTACTTTCGGGTGAAATTTTGCAAATAAATTTGAATTTCAGACTCCATTTTTTATCCGCCATTTTAATTTTCTCTATAGTCCTATTTTGTAGCTTATATATTTTTTTCACGATATTCGTAACAATTGGAATTATTTTTCTGCTATTTCGTAGTAGGAAAAATTGAAAACTAAACAAAAATTTGAAAAAATCGTATTTTTTTATTAAAAAAAACATTAATAACTTTTTTGTTTATAAATTTTTCATTTTTTTATAACGCCATTCGATAGAAGGCATATGAGAAAACATTAGAAATGATGATTGATGAACTTTTCTATTGATTTTTAAGGGGGAAGTCTGGTCAAACAGGGTTTTTTTCAAAGTGTTTTTTCTAAAGATATAATATATTTTTGTTAACTAAAATTTTTTTACATATAAGGGAATATATTCAGAAGAATATTTAAACAAAAAAGAATTAATTTTTTAAATATATATAGATAGATATAGTAGTGACAAGCCAAAAGGTCGTTGAAATCGGCGGGTACTCTGAAGTCCACAAAAATGGTCTAAAACATAAATCCAAGAAGTTTTGGTTAATATATGAAAGTAAAATGAGGATGAACCTCAATTTGCAAAAAAAAAATGATAAGATGTTACTTATGTTTTTCTTTATCTTTGATCATTTATTGCACATTTAATTGCATGTCATAACGTTTCATGTGATTTTCAGCCCTTTTCAGATAATCTTATCACAGTCAGATAAGATAAGATTATCTAATAAATAAAAAAAGTAAAATTTGTTTTTCATTTATTGTGCTCTTAATTTTTTTATAATGAAAATTCATAAATGTTAAAGGTTCATCCTCATTTTTTTTATTTTTCATATATTAACCAAAACTTCTTGCATTTTATGTTTTAGACCATTTTTGTAGACTCCAGAGCTCCCGCTAATTTTGAAGTTTCTTTGACTTGTCACTACTATATCTATATATACATATATTTAAATTTAAATTAATCTTTTTTGTTTAAATTTTTTTCTGAATATGTTCCCTTATATGTAAAAAAAATGTTAGTTAACAAAAATATATTATATCTTTAGAAAAAACACTTTGAAAAAAAACCTCGGTTTGACCAGATTTCCCACCTTAAGTACCGAAATATGTCCTCCATTATATTCTGGTATATATGTAGTGCTGTGTGGGTAGAAATTAAAATATTATTATAAATTGAATAAGTTATATTTTTCACATTATTGTCTCTGAACGTTCTAGAAATATTCCATAGATAACTTCCGGATATCCTGTGGACTTTATTGGCATATCTTACATTTAATTAGGATATCCTTTTGTTATGAGGAATTTTGATTCAAAAATTAAATTGAATTAAATAAAAAGAAAATAAAGACAAAAGTTACAAATATACACTACCGTCGGAAATTATTGTTACGGCTCCACGAACATGGCCCAAAAACATATTAATCTTTAATGATAGAACGTCTAAGCGTCCGTCCTGCCGGAAGAACGTTCCAGAAGGCCTTTTCGATAAGGTTTTTATAAAAAGGGAATTCAATTTTTCTTTTCCGGCACTCCTTGGGGTTAAAGTAGTCAAAAAGACGAAAAAATTCATATATTTGACTTTGTAAAATAATAATATTAAACCATTTTTCAAAGCCCTCAAACTTCAAGTCTCATCTTTAATTCAAGACCAAAAATGTTAAAATATCTTAATCGGTTCGCGAGATACCATTATAAACGTACAAGCATTTTCAGTCAAAAACTAAAAATTTACTAATTCAATGTATTTGTTCAAAAATATGTTCTGACATTTATAATGATATCTCGCGAACCGAATATGATTTTTTAACTTTTTTGGTCTTAAATTAAAGATGAGACTTGAAGGATGACAGCTATATAAGTTTTAAGCTTTGTCTGGAGTTTTTAAAAAATATGCTAGAGTTTTAAAAATTGTCAAAAAATTTTAATTAAAATTTTTTTTTCAAATTTATTGGTTGCTTAAATCTTTCTGTAATTTATTCAAATTTTTAATTGCATATCATTTAACGTAGAATATTATAAGCTTTCGAATGGTATAATTGTTTATTTTTTGAAATTTGTTTTTACAGAAAAAACGTGATTTAAATATTAGTACGTTTTTAGGCCTTGCACATCTAGCAGTACCAATAATTTCCGGCGGTAGTGTAAAAAATCAAAAATGTTGGTCAGTGTTAAAAGCAAAAAATAAATCTTTAAAGACTTACGCTTTCAAATTTGTCCTTATTTTTGGCGTGTTGAGCAATGAACCTGGCATCGTCGACAGTTTTTTCCACCTCCCTGAGCAATGGCTTTTCAAATGTTGGACTAACGTCCTCGTGTACGTAACCAGGACTTGATGGTCCAAACAAATCTTCTTCAGCACCAGGCAATGGTAAAGCTGGCAGGGGATCATCGTAACATGGTCCAACAGTACCAATTGCAACTGATGGTGGTAAACCCGGCACTTCTTCAATGAACCTCTTTCTACAGTACGTATCGTATTCGTCAGTCTCTTCTACATGAAAAACATCGGTGAGCATAACCTCCGGTGGTTTACCGTCATCAACATCATCATCGCTATCATTATTGCCATTATCCCTTTTTGGCCTCTCCATCATCAAAAACTTAGGTATAATCTGTATGAAAACAATACGCACCCACTTTGACATTCTGTGTGTCACTGGCGAGCGAAAATTAACATTGAGCACTGCTATGGTCACTACCACTGATAACGTCACCAAGACCATTGTAAAAAGAAGATATTTACCTAATAATGGAACAGTAAGGGATGTGGATGGTATAATTTCCACGAGTAGAAGAAAGAACACGGTTAATGATAGAAGAATTGAAATAGAAAGAGAAACTTTTTCACCACTGTCACTTGGCAAATAAAACACCAACACTGAGAGAAACGATATGCCCACACATGGTATTATTAGATTCACCGTATAAAAGAGGGTTTTACGGCGTAGTGTGATGTAAAAAATGACATCTGGGTATGGTTCTTCGCAGCATACGTAAAATTTCTCGTTGCGTACAGCAGGTACACGTAAGATGTCCCATTCGACAGAAATGTAATAATCCGTTAGATCAATTCCAACGTCGATGTTATTCGTGTCTTCAGCTTGCAGAAGATGCCTTAAATCGACCTATTGACAAACAAATACTGTGTTATTATATTACAAAAAATTCATAATGATACACTCAATTAGTCACTTTTAAAAAATGAATGATTCGTTTAAAAAATAAATTATTAACCGTTTTGACTAATTCTTAGTAAAAAAATTGTTATTTTTTTGTTAGTATTACTAAATCATTTAGTAATCGTTAATATTTCATTTAGTAAACAAATTCTATTTTTAAAATATATTTTCTCATCGTTTACTTTGTTCAATATTATATATAGAATATAAGGATGAAAATCATTAAAATCCTGTCCTGAATAATTAATACTTTTTGTGTTGAAAATTGATAGCTTTAATTAAACTCATGACTATACAAACGTTAGAGAAACCTTTCGAATCCCTCCATTTTCATCAAGACAAATATATATTGATTCTTCTTTTTCTATTTAAAGTTATAAATGGATTTGTTGATTGTCCAGAAATATTATCGCATATTGGGTTTATTGTACCATCGAAAAATTTGAGATATCAGAAACTATATAAAATTGACAATTCTAAAACGAATTATGAACGCAAGTTTGTTTTAAATAGAATTTGTTCAAAAGGTAATGAGTTTTGTCACAAGCTTGAATTTTTTGGTATCTCATTGAACTCATTTATTACTGAATTGCGTGATATGATACTAAAATTTTAGCACTATACCGCGTTTTATGACATTTGTTCCTATACATTTATATATACTGTAGTGCTTGTGCACAAAAATACAATTTTATATTTGTACGACCGTCCAGCGTTTAAATGAATAAAAAAATTAGAGAGTAGTTTTATTGTTAAGGGGTTGGGTATAGAATCATTTAATGGTAAATTTTATAATCTTTCCAAAACTGCGCCTTAAAAAAAGTCTGTACATTAATAATTAACGAAGTTATCAACATTTAAAGAATAGCATGTTCTTATTGACACGTTTGCATGGGGTCTCTTAATCTTGACCGGTATTTTATGGTGGCCATGTTTTCTATTGATATATTTTGCTTATAAATGATGTTTAGACATTATTTAGGTCATTTCTCTCGATGACTCGATCTGGAATTTAAGGTTTGTAAGGTAATGATGATTTAAGAATATTCGCCAATTAACATAATAATACAAGCAAATCCGTCCGGATGGTTTAGGACTCGTCCTTACGATTCCATTATATTCTGAGCCCCCTCAAATGTATTAAAATTAATGATCTTGTTGGTTGAAAAAGAAGAAGGAATTGCTCTTTCAACATCTATAAATATATATAAATATTTGTATACTAAACTAGTTCGTGTTGTACGTGTGTGTCAGGAACTAGTTTATTGATTTTTTGGACGTAGCAGAAACCATAAATTTTCTGCTCTTCAGTAGTGTGAAGTAACCTACAGTCTCCAGTATTAAGTAATGAACAAGTTTTTGCAGACCTTATGAGGCTGTAAGGAATTATTTGACACTGTGGAATTTTTATTTCCTTTCTTGAAAAGGAGGATAAATCCATAATAGAGATATTATAAGTAGGGTGGGGAAGGTGTAGGATAGACCATAAGTGACGATGAGACGCCGCAAGAGAGAGAAAGCAAACCGAAACCGTTGCTCTGTCCTTTAGTGAAATGTGTAAGTGCACAAGCGCAAGCAACTGATATGCGCTAGGAGAAGAGGTCACCAAGAAGGACTCAGTTGTTTTTTTTTCTTTGAAGCGAATTCTTAGACATAGGTCCTTTCCATTCTATTTATAATAGGTATCTATGGATAAATTACCATAATTTTCTTCACTTTAACATATATATAAAATTTTTACAATTAGGAAAAGCGAAAAACTAACCAAAATATCTATATCCAGGAGTAATCAGTCATTCTTGTCACAAAATATTTAGGGGAATTCCTGTCCTTTTTACTTTTTTTAAATATTACTTACAAGAAGAAAATATTCCTACTAAAAATGATACAAAAACAGGATTCTTTTTCTGTATAGGCTATTATTGAAGTCTATATATATAGGATTATTGAAGTTTTTTTGAGATCACTTTTATTTTCACCAAACGAACCGAAAAAAGAATTGTAAAAACCCGAGTTGAGACTTTCCGTTTCTCGGAAGGGGAGTTAATGTCAAACGTACAAGTCATGGCTGATATAATTCAGGCGATCTTGATCGGAGAAGACGTTTATTGGTTCCCGAGACCGTGAGGATTCTTTGTCCATTCCCGTAGAAAAAGTTGAAAGCAAGCTTTTCTCAGTATGTATCTGGGAATTTTATCTTCGATCCCAATTTTCGATAAGAAACTCAGCCCACAGTAAGGGTATTCAATACCTATGAGAAAAAACAATCTCTGTCAAATCGATATTTAAGAAAAAAATTTGTTTTAAGCTGATTACAATTTTTAAGAGAAAGAGAGAGAGAATCTCTCCTCCAATAATATTTAAGAAAAAAATTTGTTTTAAGCTGATTACAATTTTTAAGAGAAAGAGAGAGAGAATCTCTCCTCCAATAATGTAGACATATATATTCATTACTCCAGGACAGTAATAACGAATCGCTAAAATCTTCTGTTTCTTTCAAGCGGTCGCGATTATCTCTTAAGCTGAAAATACTTGAATGTTTCGTTGGATGAGAAAAAAGAGACGCTTTGGGGACTTTGCGTAGTGAGGGTTGGAATTTTGCTGGAGAATTATTTAAAAAATGAATATATATATAGAAAGCGAACCACGTAAAGTTGTATTCGAGTGGGAGAGAAATACAAAGGTGGAGAAGAGTGAGACACTTTTAAACTAACCACCTCACGAGAATACCAAACTATGTGGAAGATTATCTCTAACTGTTTTACGGAAATATTCTGTAAAATGCAGCTTTTCAAATGCATACTTCTAGATATTGCTTCGAACGAGCTACAATTGTTTTTAAAATGGCCAAGCTGTTATTGAAGAATGAGTTATGAAGCAATATAACCGGCTGTTCTATGTTGAGTCTTTAAATAAAACTATTCTCTTGACCAAGCCTTAAAAAAGTTAAAATAACGATTTTCTTGAGTTTACTTTTCCAGAACAAAAAATTGAAAAAAATGATAATCTGGAAAAAGTTATTAAAAACATAACAATATGTTTCTAAAAAATGAATGCTCTCAAGCAAAAATGTACAACCGGCATGGCACAATAAATGATGTTTTATGGTGGAAAGGCGATGAATTTAATTTTGAACATTTAAAACGATTGAAAGTTCCATTTTAATATAAATTACAATTTTATGTTAATAAGAAGCATTTGTTAAATTTTAAGTTATGTTACTTAAATCATTTATTATTGACAAAAAATTATAATTTGTATTTAAATATAACTTTAAATGGTTAAATATGTAAAAAAAATTAATGTCCTTACGCTTCTACTGAAAGGAATTTAAAATTTAATGTGACCTTCTCTTTTAAAATACAAAATTATGACATTGGACTAACTTTTGATCCGATTATTGGTCAGATTCTTCTTTAAAAGTTCGGTCTACTCTGAGTTCACTAGATGAAAACTCTTTTCATTTATTAACAGATAATTAAATTTTCAATTTATAATTCAACAAATAGTGTGATAATATAATATCATATAAATATATTTTATCACTTTGCATATAAAATTGAAAAATTTAAACAATATTTCTCTAAATTTCCATTCAAAAATATTGATGTTTTCTTAAGGTAAACACTTGGAGGATTTTTCGTAGCATTTGAAAGCCAAAAAGTCGATTTTCGCTATAAAAAATCGATTAATTTGTAATTGTAAAATTTGTATTTTTTAAAAAAGTTCCCAGGGATAGCTAAGGAATAATTTGAAGAAGCACTGTACAAAATTTCAGAACGATTGATCAAGTAGATTTGTCAATGGACATTTCTTATAAAAACAAACAAATTGCAAATGATTATTTAATAAAAAACATGAATTCTGAAGTCTGTACCAACGGAACTAAAATACTCATAACTCCGTCAATTTTGCTCCGATTGACTTGATATTTTAATATAATATATATTCTGAAGATATTATACATTCATTTTAAAATATTTTGTAAAATGCAATAAAAAAATGTTTAGACCTTACCCCCTTAAAATGAAATTTTGCTTTGAGTTTTGTGTGATTCCGCGAAACATAGCACTCGTAAAAAGAATGTAACACTGAGTGTCTATGTTTATGAGGTCGCTGTATACGAATCGGAAGTCAGATTTTAAAATTTCGGATCAAATATGGTGGTCGAATTTGGAAGAATTCATTCTATTTACCTGAAACTTGTTACTCGGGAGTTTTCAGGGTCTTTGATTATGAATCTAAAGTCAAATTTCCAAAATTTAAAATGGCAGATGAACTGCCTTTTGAATTTCCTATAGGGTACTATTTTATTTGTTAAAGAGAATGAAGAAGGTAAATGGTTATGAAACTTGTAGACTGAGTATATAAATTTCATATTCAATAGACAAATGATGAGAACAAAACATTAATTTTTATTACCTACTTTGAAATAGTTTATATTTTATAATCACAAATATTTATAATTTTATGCATATAAAGTAATTTAAATTTAGTTACAAAATTTAATAAAAGAGAAATTAAATAAATTTATTATAAAATAACAATTCATAATTATTACACATATTGTGATGTTGTAAAATTTACAATTTTACTAGTCACAAAGTTTTAATCAATAACTGTTTAGAACTCTTGTTATACAAAAATTTTTATGAAGATTTGTATTATCTGTAAAAAATGCTCAATTCGAGATATTGAACAAACTTAATTAAACCCTAATTTAAAAACTAATTATTGTATTCCTTTACTATTTTATGTAATTATCGAATCGAGTCAATTTTTGAGAAGAAGGAAAAAGAAGTCTTTTTAGATTAATTTACTTTAGATATTTAATTTAACCTAAAACTTGGAATCTTGAATTACATTTCTAGCATACCCATTTGTTTGGATTTTCTTGGAATGCCAATTATTCTCTAGTTCTACACCTCAAAACTATAGCTCTGTATTTATCCAATAAAACTGACTTCGTTCCCTAGAGGAATATTCAAGACTATTCAACTTTTGTCAGGTTTCATCATATATTTTGAGCCGTTGCTTGAAACTCCTATTGCTGTGTGTAGACGAGGCCCATATTAATTATTTGTGTTCAAGATTTTATGTCAGTTTGGAACTGGAAGATCGTCATAGTCCAGCTTTTCATGGATTTAAGTTGCTATTAGACTTTTTGAATTTCAACATTAATCTCTCGTTCAACAAATAGTTTTATTGCAGGGGCAACATGATGATTCAACATCTAGCGTCGAATGGAGGAAACTCCATTCACCTTTTTGAATTAATTCACCTTTTTGAAACATATTCAAAATCCTGCCTAAATTATTTGAAGCTCTTTTCTATTTGAATCAGCCAATTGCTGTTGTGGAACTAACGAAACTTCCCTATGTTTTGTCAACCAATTAGAATTCGTTTTAATGTCAAGCAAATCTGGTTTTGTAATGTGGTTTTCTTTTTTTATGTTGTTAACGATTTTCCATGGTGAATAACAAACAACGCCATTTTAGTCATTCTTTTTGTGAAATCATTAGAGGACAGTTCGTAGAATTTTTATTTAAATTTTAAGTTACTAAAATTTGTAAATTTAAGAATAAAAAGAGATTAGTTACGTTTGAAAATCTTGAGAACACTTAATTCGACTTTGGAAATTATGTCTACATCTATTAGGTAATTCGTTTTACCGCATTTGATTAAGATTTCATTTTTGTTAAATTTTAATTATTATTTTAGGTATAATATCTCAAAATTTCATTTTTCTTAATTTTCAATATTTAATTCCTTTTATTTGTTTTTTATTTAATTTAATAATTTATATTCTTGATTTTTATTGAGATGACATTCTCAATCGTTTAATTAATGTAATTAAAAGTCAAAATTATAATTTATTTTGTCCTATTTATCCTTTATATCTCGAATTGGTAAAGAATCTTTTTTCTTTCTTTTTGGAATAAGTTTAATATTTGTTTAATTCTCAGTCTGTCAAAATTTTAATATTTTTCATAATTAACTTGTAAATTTTGATTAATTTTTTATTTTGATATTGTATAGAATCACATAATTTTTGCTATTGTCTAACCTTAAAATTCTAATTCACTGAATAAATTGTTAATTTTTGAGTTTCATTGACTTAATTTTTTGGATATTTATTTTTGGTAAAATAACGGAACCACCCCCTTTACTATTTTTTAGTTATGGGGCTGTAGCTAGCTTGGACATTTAAGGAAGATTAAATTGGTGTCTTAATTTAATTTTTTTTTGAGATATATAAAAAAATTATTAATACTTAGCTTGGTAGCCATTGTGTATTAATAATCAGTTTATCACAAAAGGTTTTGTCTGTTTAGTTGATTCTGGAATAAATACAAAAATTGTTGTTACTTAGCTTGGTAGCCATAGTGTATTTCCAATAAGTTTATCTCAGAAATTTGTTTATTTATTGATTGACACTTAGCCTGGTGGCCTTGTGTGTTGATAATACATATTTTTCTTTGATTTAGTTTAGACAATTGCCGGTACTCAGCCTGCTGGCCCTCGTTTATTCGGAATTGTTTAAAATTAATTTTTCCCTTTTGTGAATTTTGTTTAGTGTCCTTTTAGGACTGGTACCCACCCTTTTGCACCATATTTAATCGTTCTTAGGTAACCTTGAGTTTTCATGAATTTTAATTTAAATTTTAACTAATTTTATTTTTGCTACATTTATTTATGCGATTTAATTTGAGAAAAAGTTTAATGTTACAATTTTGTCTTTGTTTGAAAAGAATTTATCATTTAAAAATTTCTTGATTTAATATAATATAATTAATATTAATATAATTAATAAAATGTAGGTTTAATTATAACCAAGCAAACGTTCTCGTTTGAGGTATATTTCGCTAGTCATAATAAATTTTTAAAAAATTGAAATAGTTTACAATATTCAAGTTTCTCTAAAGTCAGATAGGAAATTGTCGATAAACTTTGTAATTTAAACTGTATCTACTTACCGTGTAACCATCATAAGTCCACGAGCCAAATTTCATAAAGCAAGTCTGCTCATCGAAGGGGAAGTATTCCACGTCGATCTCACAAAATGACTTGTAGATCGCCGGGGGCTTCCATACCACTTTGCCATTATGATGTAAAATAGCTTTCGTCATTATGGTCACCTCGTAGTTTCCGTCCGCGCTGAAAAAAGGAAAAAAAATTAACGCTGAAACCAATTAATTTCCAATATTGGGAAATCTCATTTGAAACCAGATTGAGTAATTCCATTGTCATTGGGTATTACTTTGTTAATTAATAATTATAAATAATTTAATAACAAAAGAGTAAATAATATGAATAAATATTCTTTCCTTTCAAATAAATATTCCTCTTTTTAATTAAATTGAATTAAAGATGACGAATAACAAACTGTTGATAAAGTAAAAAATGTTTATATAATTTAAATATTATATAATAGGTAATTACAGTAAGTTTAAGTATTAAGGCATTCTTCTTGAAATTTTCACTTAATTTTTTTTTTGAAATTCTATATGAAAAATAAGCAAATGCCTCTTTTTTTAATTGATAAAAATTACGGAAATTATAATTTCTTCAAAAATTTAATACGTGTTCATAAGCAGAGAACTTTTGAAAATTTTTTTTCTTTGTTATATCAAAAGATAAAGGGTCAGAATTCCCCAAACGGATCATTTAAAACTAAAAAAAAAGTTTGACTCTCAATATGTTCAGAAGAATTCCTGAAAATATTATGTAAAAAAATTTTTTGTAAAAGTTATTAACAATTTAATTTTTTACTAGTGCTAAATTAAAAAAATTTTTCTCGAGTTCCAGTTAACGGATTTAAAAATCAATATTTTTGGAAAAAATCATGTTTATTTTTCTATTTTTCCGTTGCACATGATTTAAACCAATTTAAATTAGTCTGGCATGACCACCAGACAAATAGTAATGCATAATAAAATTTATTTAAATTGTTGCCAACAATCTCAATTAATAAATAGATAACTTTGGACCTTCTTAGAAAAAAATTGGTTTTTTGCAAAAAAAATTTATGTGTATTTAAGTAATCTATGTATGTTTTAGTAAAAAATTATTTTAAAGTTAATATTACACAGCCCCACAAAAAAAAGTGTCATGTACTTTTGACCGTAATTCCCTAGTCTTATGTATTTAGACGCGCTGAACACGAATCCGAAGTCCGTTTTGCTCCATCACGTCAGTATTTTTTTTCTAACCTCAAAAAACATGTCTGATTTTGAGAGGTAGGCGATTTTTTTAAAAATTGATGGATTTACTTCAAACTTGGTATCTAGGGTTTTTTTGGGTTGCTGATTACGAATCCGAAGTCAAATTTTCAAAATTTAAAATGGCGGATCCAATATGGAGGCTAAATTAAAAAAACATATTAAGATTTACTTGAAACTTGGTATCTAAAGGTTTTTTGGGTCGCTGATTACAAACCTGGAATCATATTTTCAAAATGGCGGCTCCAATATGGCGGATGAATTTTTAAAAAATATTAAGATTTACATAAAATTTAGTATCTAGGGGTTTGTGGGGTCGCTGATTGCAAATCTGAAGACAGATTGTCAAAATTCAATATGTCAGTTCTGAAATATATAATTTTCCTTTATTCCTTTTTATGGTAGCGCACTCTTTTGTTTTTAAAAAGATCTGTGTAGCGGTTTTCTCTTTAAGTTCACAGCACATGGTACAACATCCCTTTTCATCATCCAGCAAAAGTCGGCCATCATATTTACGCCCCATCTTCCTTGATAATGACGTTCCATTTCTTCAAGGTCCCCCTGCAAGGCAGCGCGCCTACACTGGCTTCGTTACTTCGATAAACAGGAAGCGAATCATTCTACACATCTCCTTTCGGGGCAGTTGTCATCGCCTACTACATTTATCGAAGTAGCAGGATTTAAATTGTACCAATGCTCAATAAGAACGTTAGACATACAATGACAATGATATGTCCATTAGGAATAAGATGCAGAATGGAACAATGCACTTTCTTATTCGGCTTCTGCACCAAACATATTCAATCTGTTACCAAGGAATATTTTATGAAAAAATTTTAATTGAAGCCATATTTGAAAATGTGAGAAACTCGCTTCGAAATCACACTCAGCAACTTAAAAAACATGTAAATACCAAATTTCATAAAAAACTGACAATTTTTTAAAAATAATTCCTTAATTTTAAATCAGACATATCGAATTTCGAAAATCTGACGTCAGATTCACAATCAGCGACCCAAAAAACCCCCAGATACCAAGTTTGAAGTAAATTCATTAATTTAAAAAAAATCGCCTTCGGATTCGTTTTCAGAGCGTCAAAATACATAGGGATAGGGTATTCCGGTCAAAAGTACATGACACTTTTTTGTGGGACTGTGTTATCATTGTTATTGACCCTTAAAAATTAAACATGTATTAGCTTCTCGAGGAACACAAAATGTATATAAAATTGAAAAAGGTAATGCTAAGTTAAATTTAACTGTATTATTCCCTTTAAGTACAAGTGGAGTTGTAACTTCACCTACACTTGTATATCCATACACTAGACTACCTTCCTTGGTAGCTCAATCAGTACCTGAGACTTGGGGAATAGGTGCTACACCTAGAGGTTGAATGAATTTATAACTTTTTTGTGAATATATTAAAAATATATTTTATCCCTATCTTGAAAAAGAAAAAATAAATAAATAATTAACAGGAAAATAACATTTCCTGTTATATTATTGATTGATGAACACAGCAGTCATCTCTGTTGGAGGACAAAAGTTCCAAAACTTTTTTTTGCAAACACCAATAGTTCCAAAAGTTCTATTTTCCAAAGTCCAAGAGTCCTGAAAGTTCTTTTTTCATTCTGATACTATACCTTGACAGTAGTTTGCTATTTTGTTTGCACGTTACTAGGTATACATCTGTCTAAACAGTTTTCACTAATTTGTTGATTTATGTCATTATGACGTTTTAACCTTTTTCAGTTTAATTTATTGATTGTTTTTATCAACTTATACAAATCATGGGAGAAGTTTTTATATCCGGAAGGACAAGATATTTAAATATTAATGGATTTTTATACGTATGACATTCTCCGGGTAATGGTGTAGTGTACTCTCGGTGTAAAAGAAAAAACGAATGTGCAGCGAGAGCTTTACTTTTAGGCAATTATGATATCATATAATCATAGGCAACTTTGTGGTTCGAAAAGGTCCGGATAAGTCAGAACATGGTTCGTTTATGCTCTTCTTGAAAAGAAAGATAAGGACAGTTATTTTAAAGTCTTTGAAGTTGTAATACGTGAAGCATCAAATTTTGGAATCGCAGTGGATTTGAGTTTAATTAGTTATGACCGACTTCGAATTAGCAATAATTAACACAATAAAATTATATGTCGGTGAAGATAGAGTCAGGTGTTGCTTCTTTCATCTACGGCAAAGTATTTTTCGGCGTATTTAAGCTGACAGATTGCAAGAAGAATACAATAACAAAGATGATAAAAGCCTGCGGAATTTGTGCCATATGATGTGTGTTTTAGCATTTGTACCTGAAGAAAATGTATTGATGACTTTGAAATATTCTTCGAGAACGTCTGTGACACATTTATGTTAATAGCTACATATTATGAGCAAACTTATGTTAAAAGTATACAAGCCACAGGACGACGACGAGCTGTTTTGCTCAGATATCTGCCTCGTCTGTGGAATCACTACGAGTCCGTTCTTCAAAAGTATTATCGAACCAACAATTTATCTGAAGGTAAAAAAATCTGATTCCATTTTTACAAAATTTTTTATAAAACATCACTTTTATCAGGATGGCACAACCGTTTCCAAATTGTTATTGGCCGGAATCATACAAGTTTTTATAATTTCCTCTTGGAAGTACAAAAAGAACAAGGCGAGACTGAGGTTATGCTTAACCAATTAAATTTTGGTCAAAAAATTTAAAAAGTACATCATTTGGAACATTTGGTTTGGAACTTTTGACCTATAACCGTCATCGCACTAGGGATGAGAGTAACTATGCTCTTAATTACAAATAATCACTATTCTTTTATACCCAAACTCAACACGATTGTTACAACTGGACGATGTCGGTGTATTTAAACCATTAAAAAATTTGTGGAATAGTAGTGTTTTAGAATGGAGACAATAAAATTTGGTACCTCATATGACTTTAGATAAAAAGGCTCCGAATCTTAAAAATTCTGTCAATAGATTTATATCAAGTAGCGATACAATAAAAAATGCATTTAGAGCTTGCGGCTTATATCCTTGGAATCCGGATGCGGTGGATTATAGTGTCTTGGCGTTTCAACAACAAAAAATGCACTAACTCCTGTCAGCAGTTCAATAGATCACAAATCAATTTCATTTGAAGAGTTTAAAAAACTTAGATATGATCCACTAAATGAAGTAGAATCATTCAAAACCGAAGAAAGATTATAATATAATTTTAATATAATCTTTCTTCACTTTTGGATTCTGTTTCTGAAAATATTAGTTTATGGTGTTTCTTCTGCGGTGACTCTTGCTTTCCAAATTCTTCAAATACTTTAAAATGAGCTTTTTTAAAATAATAGATTTAGTATTATAATATAATACTAAATCGAATGAATTTTTGGCTCATTTTAAAGTATGTGAAAAATTTGGAAAACAAGAATCACCGCAGAAGAAACACCATAAACTAATATTTTCAGAAGCAGAAATTGACTCTTCGAAACATTAGCCAGAACAAGTAACATATTCAGAAGCAAATATTGAACTACTAGACAAAGCATGCATTCTTGATTATTCAACCATTGAATTTAAAAAATTGAACGATATACCTATTATTATAGTGGACAGTATACAACAGAGTGATTCGCAAGATCAAGTCTGTGAAATAAATGATGTTTTTGGGACTGCGCTTGATAGTGTATTAAACTTTAAAACGAAAAGTCTCTCAGTGCATGATTTTCAATCCGATCTTTTTCAAAATTTTAAAGAAAAGTTTAAAACTAAAAATTTGATGCAAAATGAAATTATATATACTTCTTATTCAGAAAAATTGTTTTCGAAGAGCAGACATAGATGTATAAAAGATAGGCTCTTCACTGTGTTCCAACAAAATAAATCTTGCGATAAAAACTTTTAGTTCTTCCTTGAATTTTACACAGAACTTGAT